TTGGAGGACTGGATGACCCAAGTGACTAGAAATAGGACCGAGAGGGACCCAGGATTCACTGGGGCTGAAATCAGCCTGATGAAAGGTAGATTGAACAACATCAGATAAAGGAGGAGGGGACTCTTACAACGATCAGGGGGCCTATATGATATATGCGAAGGGGTCAGGTCTTCACAGATCAAGCAGTCAACAGCATGGAACGGCGTGGATGCGGACCAGCCGGCCGTCTCGTAAGGAAAACGCACCATGAGAATCTTCCGTGCAGCAGCTCGTTGGCAGTCTACGATAGAATGTATTTAGCCTGGTGACGGGATCTTGCGGCTTGCTCGCAACTCCTGCTCCATGCTCTAGCGATATCACGGCTTCTCCCGTGAGACGCCCAGCTGACAGATACCCGTACACCATCTCCAATGTGTGAGTTGTCGGTGTAGGAAAGAAGAAACACAGAGCTGACAGGGCCCATGACCCACTGGCCGTCCAGTCCTGAATGTTCATCACAAGGGGTTTGGGGTGACCATGGCTCCTGGATATCGACGCCGGCTGCTACCATAAAAGAATAGTAGCATGTTGGACTTTCGCCCTGAGCTCTCCTCCCCCTTTCTAACGCCGAGACCAGAAACAACACTGACTGCCATGATTGAGAGCACTTATTCACCTAAGTACAAACACTGATTGGAGATGATACTGTCCGGCCAACTGCCTAGTTATGCGTACACCGTACACGTTTGAGCCCGTGCCCATTGGCTCCATATCAGGCTTGGTCGTCTTGTCCGGAGGCTAGGGGTCCGAAAGCCTTGCGAGCACGCATGATGAGTGATCCTGGACGAGCAGCCTCCGAATATTACTGTCCAAGACGAGTGTTTCAACAAAGTACCAAGTTCCAGAGCCGTAGAGAAGTTCGTGGCGACTCCCAGGGTACACTGTGCAATGCTTAGAAAAGTGCTTTGAGTTGCTTGCCGGCGTGTTTCTAATGATCTCATAAGACCTTGTCTGTACGGAGTAGTCGTAGCTCGCACGAGTTAACCCAGTACAGTCCTCTGGTAGCGGTGGCAGCTTAGCGCACGCCGCTGAGGCAATTTCTGTGAAGGGGTTGGCTCCGTGTCGTCTAAACAATGCCTCGGGCACCCTTTCGGGGCCTGCGATTTGCTGGGGGTGCGCCCGGGCTATTTCTTTGGCGTGGCCGCGCGGTGGTTCGCCAGGAGGCCCGGCGAGGATCACCCAGGTGGCATCACCTCGGGCCTCTCCAGGTCGAGACATCTATGCTGCATTCTGTAACGAGCCCAGAGCCACATCCAAACACGCGTCATACCCAAGGATCGATAAGCCGCAGATTAGCACAGAGTGCGGATTAACGTCGACTTTCAGTTTGCTAAAAGACCCGATCGAGCATTCGCAGCGCACAGCTGCTTGCAACCCACCATCTGCAGTGTCCCTGCCACGGCTTGCCGTATCATTGGCGTAAACGCAACGACTTCCAGAACCAGCAATCACTCTTGCGAACCACACGCAGTTCAGACGACCGGGCTAATATTACCGCGATTACTGCGGTCACTGTTGTCCTTGGAGATACTTGAACCCTCCTCTTACACCGTCATCATCGATGAGCCCCTACGATCTGCCGTCACTTCTCAAAAACAGCGGCGAGATTGGAAATTTGTGATCTGCTACGGTTCATAGACAACGGCAATCTCGACATATCCCGTCGATGGGCCCAGCTCCCACCACAAGCAGCAGTCTACCTTCAGATCGCCAACATGCCTCGAACACCTTCACCGTTGAGTATTCCGTCGCCGGGCGAAGAGATACAGATGGAAGAAACAAAGCCGCCCTCCGAGTCCCCGCCGGAGACGATAGTAGCGAATACTGATGCTCAAGACTTCGCGACGCCCAAAAGTCCCACGGTCGTCTTCGCCAACGCACCCGAACTCGAAGATGGCCACCACCACCACCACCGCCATCACCTCGAGTCCCCTGAACATACACTCACCGAGGTTTGCTCAAATACATTCTCTACCGAAGAGGAGGAGCGGCAGTTCAGTATGCGGCCGCGGTCCATGTCACACCACCTGTCTGCTCAGGACATCCCGTCTAGACGCTGGCTGACGATCAAGGCAAAGTGGTGGAGGGCCCTCGAGATGTTGGGCATGTGTTTCCACAGCTGGGCTTGGCCTCGTCCTGCAAAGCCTGCCTTCAAATGGGGCATCGAGACAGACTCCACTCCTATTGAACTGTACTTCTACCTCCCCTCGATATACGACGAGGTCCTCCAGCGGGATCCTTCGCACCGGTTCCCCTGTGTTGTCAACTTCCATGGTGGTGGATTTTGTCTGGGCGAAGCAACCGATGACAAGTATTGGGCACGCGTCGTCCTACAGCATGCGAACTGTATCTTCATCAGCGTCAATTATCGACGTGCGCCCGAGCATCCTTTCCCTGGCCCGGTGGATGACTGTGTTGAGGCCCTACTGTTCGTGGCCGAGCACGCTGAGGAACTCCATATTGACCAAACAAATATCGCGCTTTCAGGGTTCTCTGCAGGAGGTAACCTCGCTTTTACCTCAGCACTTCGTCTGACCCACCACCGGAAGATCAACGCCCTGGAGAAGACCAAATCCCGACCCTTGACTGCTCGCAGTGCCGCTACCACGGAGACCACTGACACCTACGGCTCCTATATGGCCGATAACGATGACCACCCCCATGAATCACACAACTTTTTGACACCCATGCCTTCAGGCTCCGTTCACTCCAATTCCAATCTGCTTCGCCACAAGTCAGGCTCGCCTCTTCAGATACGCTCCATTGTCGCGTGGTACCCATTGCTGGACTGGACCATGTCTCGGTCCCGTAAGATACGCGAATCGCGGAACCCCAAGAAATGCCTGTCCAAGACCTTCACTGACCTGTTCGACTTCTCCTACCTTCCCGCACCGGATCTGCATGGTGACCACTGCAGTCCTTATGCCTCTCCATCCCTGGCACCCGACGAAATGCTCCGGACTGGCCTACCGCGAGATATCCAAATGTGGCTGTGCGAGTGGGACATGCTCCTCCGAGAAGGGCAACTCTTCGCCGAGCGGCTGGATAACCTGGGCAAACGTGTCGACAGCAAGATGATTCCTCGAGTGCCTCACGCCTGGGACAAGTCGCCGAACCCTTTCCGAGACCAGCGAGCTATCGATGTGCTGTACACTAAAGCAGCCATCAATCTGAACAGAGTTTTCCAGGACAGGGATGGCATCGGACCGTTCAGTTCAATGAGTTCGCTTCATCCCAACGATCCAATCATCCAGAGACAGCCGAGAAGGAGCGTTGTCTTGCCCATGTGAGGGGCTAAGACGACGCTGCTGAAGGGCGAGTTCAGGGGGCTATATAAGAAATGAGCCTATTTTGTGGCAAACTCTACGGCGCCTTGGGCTCGGATAAGGCCGAGGTGAACGAAATCACCCGTGGCCTACCATCTTCATATCTCGAGCCTCGTGGTCGAATTGGGTGGTCAGCGTTGAGCACTCATCTCGGATGCAGTGAGGAGAGTCTCAAAACGAAATAATCTTGTGCACCACAAGTCATCCGCTTGACGGAGTGGGCATTGAAGCCACTGCAGCTCCGCAGTTGTTTTCTCGACAAGCTTGGATACCAGCCTTTCACCGGGCGCGTCAAATGTTTCTTGACCAGATCGTCACCAACACCTTTCACCTCCACAAGACTCACCTTGAACATCGCTTTTACGACATGATATGATTCTACACCATCACCACATTCCAGCATTCTCATAGCGTTTTAGCGACGGCGTTTCGCGTCCTGCTATGCCATTGTTTACGATTGACATGATCATTTCTTCGAGGTCATCGACCTCATCTCCATTTCCTTTCCCACTGATGGTAGCGCATGGCATATCTCTTTGCGAGATGCAGGTTGTATATGTACGTATCGATGCATGGGAGGACGACGCGCAGATCAGTAGACAGATGGGTAACAACAGGCAACGAAGGTATCACCAGGGACGTAGGGCATCATGGACATGGAAACAAAAAAGCATACAAGAGGAAGTCTGTGGATGCAGATAAAATACAACGCGAACAGAAATTACTGCCTTTCAAGCTACTGTATGACCTCTGTCGCCAAACAAGCAACAGCCAGCTGGCTGATTGACTGGCTGGCTGGCTGAACGATTCCTTTCTTTCCCCTGTTTGCTCTCTCACCTTCCCCATATATTCCTGCCCGTTTATATCTCCCCCCCAGGTGTCGAACACATCGCGCCTCTCCACGTTCTCCTATCTCACCGGCTCCGACACGTCTCTGATCCCATCCCATCCATCCATCCATCATACAACACTTGTGTACGGAGTATCGAGTATGCAAAGTGCCGTCGTAGAGTTTGGGGGGGGGGGAGTGTTAATCCGTCCCAGCAGAGCGTTTTACGCCAACGATGTACTGGGCCTTCCCACCTGTTGGCAGAAGTGAGGCCACTACTACTACTATCTCACTGATTGGTCTTCTTCATGTATAGGTTCGTGTGCTCTGTGGGGAGAGCTCATCTCTGCTTTATCCCTCGCTTCAGAACCCAATCAATCTATTCCGCCCATGATCCATCGCCGTGCCTGGGTCCAGCTTGGCAAGTGAACGGCCCGGTTTGTTGGCGAACCGAACTTGGGCAGACAAAGTGTGAAGAGACTCATGTGGTCTGGCTCAGTCTCTCAAGTGTGCTCCACCCAATCCTGTACTGTGGATGCGTGAAGGAGCGAGGAGCATAAATTTCCAGAAGAATCATTGGCGACAAGATTCGTATTGTTACATTACTGACGCTATGATACTGGCTGCCATGAAGTGTACAGTTCATCTGTTCCTCCGACCTCTATCATACAATGTTCTGTGATACAAGTTCATTTTGTGTCACCTCGTCTTCATCCGGCTCCTTCTGTTCTTGAAGTTCGTCAGTTCATGACCTTCAATGTGTGCTCAGTGCAAGGGAAAGGAGCCCAAATCGTGGTTCTGTCGTCTCAGTACCGCTTGAAGAGACTCGGACGCTGTGTCGGAGTGCTGACTGCGGGATAGAATGGCATGGCATTACGACCTCTTGGTGTGCGTGCAGCAATGAGGCTGTCGTTTGATGCTGCAGCACCAGTCTCAGATGCTGGACCAGTCCCAGTAGGCTGAGAATCAGTCCAATTGGTTTGGGTATTGATGGTAAGCGACCAGTCACTGCCGATAGTCCCAGTGAAAGAGAGTGGTGGTCCCCAGGTACTGCCGTTGCCTGTTCCGTTCCACTCAGGGGTGCCAGTCCCTGGCAATACTGTCATGTTGGGTGCCCACGAAGCAGGAATGCCCGTTCCTGTGATTGTCATGTTTGGTGCCCACGAGGTCGGAGTTCCCCAGGTGGTCATGTTATTAGTGACATACGGAATGATCGGTGTCGGTCCATACCAGATTGGTGTCGTCGGAGTGGCAGAAGGGATGTTGCTGCATACAAGCTCATGGTACAGTTGGGTGTCGATGCCCAACGAGCCACCAGTCCGATTGAAGAGACCAAGAGTATCGCAGATTTGACCGCGTTCGGTAGTGACGTCGGCGGCAGCTAATACGCCTATCAGGGCAGCATAGAGGTTGGCGTAAAGCTGCTGCCGGGTGGTGCCGAAGTCGTAGCCGTATATGGAACAGAAGCAGACAATTGACTGGATGTTGTCTGGGTTGTACCAAGACTGTAACAATTCGAGCTTGGTTTGAGCTGTGCCCAGCCCGGCACAAGCTGCAGTCAGATTCAGGCCAGAATCACAGACACTCAAGGCAAACATGGCAGAAGCAATGTTGGTGAACTCGTCTCTTAAACCACCGGAGAGCAAAGCGACATCGGGAGGGAGGGCACTGGCAAAGTCCATGGCCAAATTGGCCAGGGAAGCTTCTGTGGCCTCGTCTGAACGACGGAAAAGGTCCGAGCTCTCGAAGCCTTTCATAATGTTCCAAGCCGCGGTCTGGGTAGCTGCTGCGGCCATGTTGCCATGAGCAAACTCATGGAGTCTGGTGCTGGCTCTGCCCGTGGGAATGCACTCAACTTGAGTGATTGTGAGCATGGAACTGGTGGATCTGACTTCGAAAGGACCCTGTCACCAATGTCAGCGGAAACCGAGGAGCCCAAGCTCTTGAACTTGAATCTCACCTGAATCAGAGCACTAGGAGTATTCGTGACAGTGCAGATGTCGCAATCCACAGCCTGCTCCTGTTAGCTATGACTTGGATATGGTTGGAGGATACCACTCACGTAGAGGAAGGTTGTCATGATCGCTTGGTAGATTGTGGTTGTCGGACCGATCTGAGGAGGCTGAGTAGCAGTGAAAGTGAGAGTGCAACTCGGAGTGTCAGTGTCTGTAGAAGACACAGAGACTGCGTCTGCGAGACCAAAGACAGCCAGGGCCAACAGAACGAGAGTGTAGAGAACCATGATGAGGCACGATCTGGGCCAGGAGAGCTCTTGAAGGACAAGGATTGTTGCACTGCGAACAAGAGACGAGCGGAAAGTAAGAATTTGAGGGTGGTGGTGAGGGAAAGATGAGGAAGCAGTGAGAGGCCGAGCAAGATAAAGAGATGAAGGGCGCAAGCTGACGCAATCATTGAGTTGTTGGGCAGGAGCATGTCGGCGGCAGGTGCATCACCACAGGCCCTTAGCGGAGGGGAACTCATCGATGGCAAGCGCGTTGCATCAACGCGTTGTTGTGAACGACACCGCCGTTGTCAAGTATATTCCAGCACCCATTGCTGGAGAAGCGCTATTCTTTCGACCGAGCCTGTACGCCATCTATACACCTCCAGAAACAGCTCTCAGATAAGGACTTACCATCATCAGAAGCTTCCACATGAATTGGTGTCCGGGAGAAGGAGCTGGTCATCAGAGAAAGCTGAAGCACAGCGGTGCGGTCAGGACTCACCGTCGAGTTAGGCTTGCCTCCTGGAAGCATGGGACTGTTTCATGCTGTTGAACAACCGCTAGTGGTGGATAAGTATACCATACCATCATGTCATTAGCTGAGAGCTCATCGCAAGCCGGCCACAGCACTATGTTGACGCGAAGAATCCGCCACGGATGAATAGAGACAAACAGATACCTTCCCACAGTCATTTTGACTTATTCATTTCAAGCGAAGCAGCTGGGAGGCTGGCACGCTTGCCGGCTGCAACTCCTAAACCCCTATCGAACGAGGTTGGTAAGGCGCTCTCACTTCTGTCCTCTGCTGGTCCCATTAATGTTCCATTATGATGCCCAGGCTGGTACTTGTTAGAGCACAGGGCATCGAGAACGAATGTGCGCTTCTTGGGCACGTGACGGATTCCCCTTGGTGACATCAGGACTTGTACTTCGTTCACTAAACTTCGTTCGATTTCTCGGTCAAATAACACACCATAGCGCAACCGCTGTCGGCAATTCTAACCGAAGATGTGCTATCATGATGACAGTCGACCGCTCTGACGCCGAGCTCTGGAACACTTTGTGGGCTCGTGGCCTGCAACTTGCAGATTGGTTGGCTAACCTCAGCTCATTTCTCCGCATCATCTGTCTCTGATGTTGCATCGTGCATAAGAGGAATGCAGGACGAGCAGAGCCGAGGTGCTAACACCCAGGAAAGGTTCTCGATAAGAAGGAATTGATTGCCGTCGTGCCATCAACGCGGCGCCTCAATGGCATCATCGCCCTTGCACCAGTTGCGACGATCGTGTGCTTTGGAAAGTTTCCAGGATGCGGGGTGCGAGACCTTACCACATTCCAGAAGACCCAAGCGATCGCATGCTTTTGCCAAAAGGTCATGGACTGGTGGTGCTGGAGGCAGTGCGTGTCGTGGCGAACAGAGAGATCAGGTTGATCTCCTCGTGTTGAGGTTCGGAGAAGGTCCGAAAACCATTCATTACTGTGTGGGTGCTAGCCTGGCATCGATCCTGCAAAAGCTACTGTATCTGCGCCGTTAGCTATTGACAGCAAAAGTCGATCGCATAGCAAAAGGGAGCATAACGAATTAGGGGCACTTCCTGTGCAGCTTGTGGCAGAGATACTCTGTCAAGCTGTCATCGTATTGTCCACGGCTGGTCTTCCAAGCACTTGGCTTCGACCAGTTTCAGTGTGCGCCCACAGCTGCCTCGTTTGAACATGTAAATCAGATTTGCGCTCAACCCTTGCTGAGAAAGGGTCAACCTCGTTTCAAAATGGCTCTCTGAACCTGAATCGAGCCTGATTGGAAAACAGTGGCAGGGTCTTCCTGTCCACTTCGAGGATCGCTGGGTAGTGAGTCGCGGCGTGGCAAGTGTCTGAAAAGTCCAGAACATGCGCAAAGCTACTGTACAGCGTTCTCGGTAGCTGCCTACACTCCTGCAAGAGTATCCCCGGTTGTCCTCCCAATTCCTTTTATTGAAGGCGTACGCATAGATGGGTGCGCTGGTGGAATCAGTGTCGCAGCAGCATCGCAATACTCCCGTTCTCCCGTCTCTTGCGAGGCACGGAATGTACACAGCGCCTGGGGCTTCTTGCAAGGGCATTCAGGTGAGGGGTGGTGAGCGGCTGCATTGGGGAGGGATCCAGGTTGGAGGAGCCAAAGACCGACAATCTGTTCGAGCTGCACAACCAAAGCATTGCGGTCGCCGCACGTCGTAAATGTTCCAAGAAGTCTTCGAGGTTTGTAGCCGTCTTAGGTCTCACGACAAGACCTCAGCCGGACAAATACCTGACTGTGAGTTCAAGCTTGAGACACTTATGCAAGTCACAACGCGTTGCAAATGCTACCCCGTGCTTCCTAGTCAGGTTCTTCTGGCTGAAAATGCCTCAAAGGCAGGATGGAGACAAGGGTAAACCAGCGGGCACCAAGGCGATATATCCCGAGGCCTACGGTTATGGCTGTCGGAAGGGGGCATGTCGGGGTGTAGCGGTGGCACCCATCAACAACTTCGAAACGAGCATCCACAACAACGCATTTTTCAGTGGATTTGGATGAGAGCCACATCATTGTTTGCTCCAACGATGTTAGGCTATGGACAGAGTACATACTCCGTATGTTCCGACCGACGTTGCGGCCAGTGCTCGAAACCGAAAATGCCTCAAGTGGGAACTCGGAAAAGGTGGTATTTTCAGCACGATGCTGTTGTCCGCGCAAAGCAGCCTTACGCTCGGTCCGCATTTTGCGCCGAGCAGCGAGCCTCTTCTCAGTCGCAGCCTCGACCTTCGCAACATCAATGGATACCTGTGGTAGCGCGCTCCCAGTCAAAGACAAGAAAGTCTGAGGGAAATTTCCACACAGATAAGCCTAGTTCCCGTGTCCACTGGCTACTGAAACACGCGCCTCAAGGCTTAATGGGTCGACGACGGCTACCACAGGCGCGTCAGCATCTCTTTTCACGGCAACCATTTGTGGGCATGCTTTGCCAATAATTGAATGATCGTCAGTCAGTGCGCAATGCAAGGCTTGTTTCCAAAGAGGCTGATGAACAGCAGCCTTGTCTAGGACTTTATGCGTCGTGACTCGTAAGACTCTTGTCGGGCGCAATCTCTGGCAATCTGCTGCTTATTGTTTACGATTGTCAAAAAAAGTCAACAGTCATTATTTTGGGCTGAAGTGGATTGGACAGGCTTGCAGCTTGGGCCAAGGGAAGAGCCTAATGGCCCATAAGAGGGAAGCCGAGCTCCAATCTAGGGGCCCTGCTAATCCAGTTTTTGCACTGCAGCCAGCGCTTGTTCCTCGCCTGCCACTGCTAGCGGAGATTCATGCCTCAGGTCGTTAATCAAACTGTGGACCTCGTCATTGTTTTGAATCTCGCACAAGCCAAAAGCCGTCTCGCGGACCCGGTTCCCAAGCCCAAAAGTGCAGGCTTATTTTGGATCTCAGTCTTCAATCAAGCATTCATGCACTCGGACAAATATGGCTCGACTCGAAATCAATCTTGCTGTAGGAGCGATGAATAATCGCCGCGTTAGGAACGGCCGGATAACTGTGGCATGGAGGTGCAGCTTCGGGCCCTTGATGCACGAGGAGATCGATGACGGCAACTGGAATCTCCAAATGCTGCTTGCTGAGGTGGGTGGCATTCCGCGGTGTGCGTGAACGGCCTCCAAGCGCAGAAGGTGACGAGCGGTGCCATAATGGAGCCATGGCCGCGAGGATCGTTAAATTCTGCCGCCGAGCTGGGGATGACCATGTCGGAGAAAAGATTGAGCCTGGGGCCGGTGCGTGACAAAGTCTTCAAATGCTCGACTGGGTTTCTCAAGCACATGTGTAAAATGAAAACCGGCGTTACGTTGGCTGACAGTCCGTACTGAAACTAGAGATTCAAATGACGGACTACCCTAGATCGATGGGCTGCTAGCCGTTGCAAGCTTAGATGCAGTACCCGCCCATTTTGCTGCCACCAATGCCGCCGCTTCCTACGGCGCCCGTGACGAAGGGGAGGAAGCAAGATGATGCGACGCAATGAAGTCAGCGTGGACCTCGCGACCTTCCCGGACTTGGGCATAGTTCTTCTGAACAAATGGGCATTTCTGCGCGGGAGGAAGGCACCGGCAACCTGACGGGCTGTTTGAGACTGTAAGCGACTGTCGAGACGACGGAGCGTGCTAGAAGTCAAGCCACATTCGTAACCTCTTCGCCCCAAGTCCGTGATGATCATTGATCAGAGGCTTTGTTGATATATAACGGTGATGGTTTCATAGGAGCGTCAAACGATAGGTGGCAATCCAAGATTCTCTCATCGCCGAGCATGGCCGAATGAAGTCCACGGTCAAGAACTACCTACTGTATATTGATGGCTGCAGGATTTCGACCTGGGACATGGAGGCCTGGCGAGCGCTCAGTTGCATTGGCTATACTCGTATCGTGTCGACTGCATAAAGAATGACAACATTATCGCTTGCAAAGGACCACGACCACGATTCGTAAAAACATTGGGAGCATGAGTCCCGTGTTGCGCAAGTTTCGTATAGATATCTGGAGTTATGCATGGCCGCCATCTCCCGGAAGACGCATAACCCATCTACACAATGACAATGTCTCATATGGAGTTCATGTTGCCTACGCGTTCTGTCGTGTACAAGAACATCTTCTGCAATCCTTTGGGGGGAAGCATGAGCCCGGGGTAGATCTGGATCAAATAACACCCTGTCCCGCCATCTGCAGAGGAACGAGATTGCAATCAGCTCAGGTAATCGTGCTGATCAATTGGAGACGCGCATCCCACAACATGCAAAGCTCTCTCTTAATCCTGACTCATGGAAGCCCATGCGCAAGCAATACTGACAAGAAGATGGTGCGTCCGCGTCCCCGTCCGCGTCCCCGGGCAATTTCAGCCTATTGCCTTCTTGAGATAAGCAACGAATTGCTGCCATACGTGACAGTAGTGGTGTTCAAGTGGTGAAGACGACAGCAAACACCATGCACTTGGGTCATGGAACCCGACGCGAGGCGCCTTCCT